CCTTTCCAGCCTCTGCATGGTCATGGCCAGCGTTTTGTTCAGCTCCTCGATCATCCTGCAGCCAGAGGGGTGCATGGGGAGGGAGCCGGTGGTGGAGGGGAGGTGAGGGCCGAGACTGCCGTACTGCAGCTGGTGTTGGATCTGGGACGGCAGGACCGTGTGGTGGTGCTGGGCCCCACTCTGCGGGCCGCTCTTCTGGGCCGCGTAGGATGCCAGGGAGAGGTCTGGCCCCCCGACAGGCATGCAGATCATGACTTTCTTTGGAGGTAGTGGAGGCGACAGTTTGACGGGCAGACAAGGCAATTTCACAGGGCCGCCAGGATCTGCAGCACAAGGAGGGCGAGAGGCAGCTGTGAGTTTGGGGGCACGGGAAGAAACCTAGACCCTCACATGTGCGCCCACCCTGGGACCGTGGGCCCTGCCGTGGGCTCTGAGATAAAATGCACCAGCAGGGCGAATGCCCCTCAACAAGCACCCACCAACTCTTGGTTCCTGCCCAAAGTGGGCTGGTCACATCAAGGGCCCTCGGGGACCCAGGCACTGGCGACGTCTGTCCCGCAGCTCTCAGGCTAAGTAAGGCTCACCGGCAGCAGGAAGGGGGGACGAACGCAGTGCATTCTTTGGTTCCTGGAAACCCATGGAACTTCAAAGAGACCCTTCCTAGGATACGCCATGATGTCTACAATTTTGCCACTGTCATGTGAAAATATCCTTTCAGTTGGCACTTTCTAACAGGCACGGGACTAGAAGCCAGTCCTAGGTTCAAGTCCACGAACAGCATGTCCCTCCACAAGTAACATCGCTGCTGCTAACCTTAATGCCCTCCTCTGTAATCTGGGCATGATGCTTTCATGGATTCACTGTCACAGAGCTCAGGTGCCCCACGCGGAGGCCAGGTTTCCACAGTCTGTGTGCTGTGCAGCTCATCTCTTCCTGTCCACACTTGACCTCCATGAGGTCTGAGCTCGGTGGCTGGGCTGGTTGGCCCACTCACGTGGCATCCAGAGTTGGGTTATTTGAACTGTAAGGAAGCTCCAACAGGTACTCCTGGGCCTTGGTGGAACCTGCACACACCCAGCACCTCTCGGTTCCAGGAGAGTGGTTTTGAAGCTTCCCAGAGATGCTCCAAACTCAGGGGAGCTGCAGGACAGACCAGCCCTCAGGCCACCTTTGGGACAACCTTGCAAATTCCTGGAGATGATCTAGCATGGGTGGGGGGCAGGGTTGAGTCTTGTGGGCTGCAGGCTGGCCTGGGAGAAGCTCGGCCAGGAAAGGCACGGCGGGGGAGGAGTTAGAGCGCTCTCGACTTCACACTTGGTATCCACATCAGGAGGACCGCAGGCTTCTGCGTCTTGCTCCTAAAGGCCTTAGATTTTTCTCTATCTGTCTGTCTACTCTGAGTGTGGCCTTCGTCAGTTTAATTTCCCCACAGTTCTACCGAAGTGACATCCCAAGGGCACCAATCTGCTGTCACACCTTCGTTTAAACCCCACCAATGGCCTAGAAATAAAGCCCACCTTCCTGACGCATCATCCAAGCCTCCCAAGGTCTGTGTGCTGTTCAGCTCATCTCTCTGTGCCCACACTTTACCTCCTGAAGTCTGCTCTGGTTCCCCTATGAGAAATGGCCTCTCCTATCGTATCTGAAAAGCCTTAGATCTGGGTCTCCTACGACACCTACTGCTTTTCTCCTGTGGGTTTTCCTTATTTGCTGGCCCACAAATTCAGTCTCCACCCTCCCCTAAATCCCACGGTGGGGGGGCCTTTGTCCCTCACATTCTCCACATGGGCTGTCGTGGTCCTCCCTGGTCTCAAGGCCCCCCTCCCTCAGCAGCTCCTATCTCACAGAGAAACCCGAGGTGCACAGGCCAGGCCTCTCCTTCCCTCCAGAACTTCCGTTTTCCCCAGACTACCTGATGTTTGCACACCCCTGGGCCTCTGCCACATTCCCTCCTCAGTTTGGAATATTCCTCTCTGTTTTGTCTTCCGGGTCCATTCCTCCTCTCCCTTCAAGAACCAATTCAAAAATTACCTCCCCCGAGAAGCCTTCCTGGGTCATTACAGCACTCCTTCCATTCCAAACCCAGTGGACCTCCTGTGGGCGTGAGGCGGGTCCGCGCCCACAGCAATGGTGACCACAGTGAAGGGGGAAAGAACTCTAGCCGCCCCTTGCCCCGTGCCAGATACCAAGTGCTTTTCACTTTAATCCTCACAGCGAGCCTGTGATGTACACACATTATCATCTCGCTTTTGCTGACGATGCCACTGGGCTCTGAGGACACCGAATGGCGCTTCCTGTTTACACAGCTGTCCCCTCTGCTGGAGAACCAGGACCTCGAATAATGTGTCACTCTCTCCTTAGCATCTTGTACAGTGCCCAGCACACACAGCAAGAGGCTCACAACATGTTTAGACAATGAGCTGACGTTCTGATGCTCTGCAGTGGGATGAATTCGCACCTTCTTCCCCCAGAGATAGATACTCTCCGGGAGGGGGAGGGGAGGTACATGAGCAAAAAATGAAAAACAATTTTAGGACCACGTAGCCAGGGGTGTATGGACACTAAACAGTGGATCCTACAGCTGAGATACAGGGAAGCTTCATACTTCCAGGGGACCTGATAAGCTTGCTCCCCAAGGCCAAAATGCCAACTGGTTGTAACCACAGGGCTCCCTCATGTTCCTCCACAAAGGCTCATCCCGTTTGTCACCATCCCCCATGCACACGACACAAAGTAACCTAACCACGTTCAGGTGCGTGACCAATGGTGCTCATTCCAAAGTGGCTGAGAGGCAGAAACTCACCCCGTGTCCAGTTCCTGCTACTGAAGCGTCCACTCCCTTGGCTCTTGGAAGGCTTTGCACAACCCTAGTAAATGCAGTGTGTCTGGATGTGTTAAGGGTTTCTATCCAAGAACCTTTACCCGTTATTCCTTCCTTTGTATTCTAGGTGTCTATCGAAGGCAGGCAGGCCTCGCTTGAGCAGGAGGGCAGCATGGAATCATCTCTCTGGGAAGGAATGGTGATTACCTTGGGTTCTACCACCTTGCTAAGCTACCCCTTCCTGCACATACTCGACCACCGCGCTTCCTGCTACCACTTCTGCAGCAGAGCTTACTTGGCTTCTTCACTAGGAAAATGGCCAAGGGGACGCCAGAAAATTCTATCGGAACAGGCAAGGAGGTAATGATCAAATTAGTGGACATGGTTACTCTCATTGCTTGAGAAAAGAGATGCTGGGGTCCTGGAGGACCCCTTTCTCTTTTCCTGCCTGTGTTTCTTTTCTGGTTGTTTCACTACCCACGGTCATCAATTAAATAGGAGTAGGAAATGAAGATGAATTACTTAAAATAATTTTTTAGCTCAGCAGATTTGGTAAAAAGGGAGGAAAATGGGGAAAAGGTTAAATGGAATTACTGGCTTTCAGTGAATTGGCTCTGTAATCCCCATCTTTCTCCAACATGGTAGACAAGGGAGCGGGCCTAGGCAGCCCAGATCTTTAGTAACTCTCAGTGTCTATTTTTATATCTTCATGATATCTTAATACCAAGTCATTGCTCATAACAGCTCTGGAGCCCTTTATACACCGTCTGCCATTCTGAGTTTCTATCGCTTTATCTTTGTCCTTTGCAAACTTCTGTGTTCTCTGCCCCCTTGACAAGTCTGGGACCTCATCTCGTCTTGTAGGGTGGGTAACAGGGTCCACCCTTCTAATACATCTGCGCCCCGTACCAGACATCTTCCTCTAGCACACGTCACGCTGGAGGTCCCCCCACGACTCCCTGCCCCAGTCACTGCTGTGGGCCATCCAGCCCTGCCCAGCGCCAGCAGGTGCCTCCTGCCCTGCATCTCCCTGGCCACTCTGGTCTCTCTGGGCAGGCCAGCTTCCCCACTGGGTTTCCCAGTAACCATGCTCATCCTCTCTCAGGGCCTTTGTCACACCTGCCCCCTGAAACACCCTCCCTGCCCGATGATCAAAATTGCATTCACCCTTCAAAGCACAACTAAAGACCCAACTCCCCACCTTGCAGGCTTTCCTGCTCCCGGTTAAGGCCAACTGCATTGGGATGGCTCCTCCCATGTGTGCTTCTGCTCTCCCCACAGGGTGCCCAGAGTGTAGCACAGCGAAGCCCAGACTCCTGCAGCCTCATGGTTCTCAACCCTGAGGGTGCGTTAGGCTCAGACTGATGCAGACCCTCCCACCCCCTCCCAGGGATTCTAGTGGGATTAGGGGGTGGGTGCCAAGGTTTGCGTCTTTTAAAAGCCACGTTTGAAAACCACTCAACCTCTTACTCTTGTCCTTTTCTCTGAAAACAAAACAAAAAAGAGCACTAATTACTTCTTCTTCTTTTTTTTAAGTAGATGCCACACCTAGCCCAGAGCCCAGTGATGCGGGGCTTGAACTCACGACCCTGAGATTAAGACCTGTGCTGAAATCCACAGTCAGATGCTCACCTGACTGAGCCACCCAGGCATCCCAAGAGCACTAATTCTTAAGCAGAGTTCTTGGACAACCTGTGACAGTCCCCTGATGCTTGGCTAGAAGTTTGTATTCCTGGCCTTCACCTCTGACCTACTGAATGAGAGTCTCGGAGCCAGGTGTTTGGATTTTAAATGCTTCCCAGGTGCTCACCATATTCAGGGAGGAAGAGGAAAGAATCGGGGAGAATCACTGATTTGGGAGTGCTAACCTGCTTGGAGTACAATGCTGCCCAAGGCAGAGATATGATGCATCGGTTCCATCCAGCCCCTGGGCCAACATCCACCCTGAGTGGTCAGCGGCATGGTCTCCAGGTTCTATTTCTATGCCCCCCACATATAAAAAGTACAAGACTAATTTGCAGGAAACCAATGTACTGAAAGCTACACTGTCTAAGATCTATTCACCTAATGACTAGCTTTGTCTAAATCTAACATTTGCAATTAAGGGACTTGTCTTAAAACCAATTTGTCTAATGACACTTCCAATTTAATTTTATATTTACAAAAATCACTTATGGATGAGCACTTTGTGGATGAGCACTTTGTGGATGAAAAGATTTCTTAAATCCTTGTGGGTGAATTTTTTCTGTTTTATTTGCTTTAGAATACTTTAAGTACATTTCAGACAAGTTTGCCTAAAGAGCCTTTCTTCAAAATTTTGTCTCAAGCAATAAATACTTAATCAGATGTTTAGCTTTTCCTACCGACTTGATTCAGTACATCAGATTCCTCGTTTCCTTCTTACTGATTTTCATATGTCCTATGTGTACTGTATGCGTGTATTAAACAATAAAGGAAACATATACACAATACTCATTTCTGCTTAATGAGGCACTGACATTT